TTTAAAAAAGTACCTTTTTCCTAATTGATATACAGCTGTCACATGACCCAGCTCCTCCCCAGCCTGTCTGCAGGGAAACGTAAGCAGGAGGAGCTTCTAGTCCTCTGCTGCTGATCACATGTTCAAAACAAACAAGAAAAAGCCTTTGGGATAGAGAATAAAATAATTCATATCAATAAACGGTTTTAAATTGTCATACAAATACAGTATTTACATATTTGAAATCAAAGCTTTATTATTTTTTTGGCAATCACATGGTGTGGGTAGATTTCTGCCGGTCATAGGCTGTGTCACGCCTACCCAGCCTGTGTCTTAGAATAACAAGGAGGTGAATCCTCCATCAGTCAAGATGTAATATCTCACCCCTATTGTGTTCAGCTGGTTAGTGGACATGGGGGAGGAGGGAGGGAGTGGGCTGCCATTTCCCTCTCTGTATACACCCACATGTTTGACTCTAGTCACATGGGATGTTCAGATGGCATAGCGAGGAATTGCTCAGCATAGAATCTCACTGAAAATTGAGCAAGTGCAGCGCTGCCAACACTGCTCTGCAAAATCTCTAGCTGAATTGGGGACATGGACAAGAGGGAGCAATACACAACAGCAGGATCAACCAGGTATTTTTGCAGAACACAGAAAATGAATCCCATAGTGACCGAGTATGAACAGCCTGGAATACAGCATTTATTGACAGTTTTTTTATGATGTGGGTTTAGTGACACTTTAACAACAACAGATCTGGTATGTACAGGTTGATACAGGTAATATAGAAATGGAACAATAACATATTCAAAATAAACATCAAAGAAAAGGGGGAGGGGAGCAAAAAGGTTCTTGGGGACCTGCAATACCAACCACAGTACAGTACTTCTCTATCGGTCAAGGTTCCAATGAAGACTCGGTCAAGCTTCCAATGAAGACTCGGTCAAGCTTCCAGTGAAGACTCGGTCAAGGTCCCAGTGAAGACTCGGTCAAGGTTCCAGTGAAGACTCGGTCAAGGTTCCCAGTGAAGACTCGGTCAAGGTTCCAGTGAAGACTCGGTCAAGGTTCCAGTGAAGACTCGGTCAAGGTTCCAGTGAAGACTCGGTCAAGGTTCCAGTGAAGACTCGGTCAAGGTTCCAGTGAAGACTCGGTCAAGCTTCCAATGAAGACTCGGTCAAGGTTCCAATGAAGACTCGGTCAAGCTTCCAATGAAGACTCGGTCAAGGTTCCAATGAAGACTCGGGTCAAGGTTCCAATGAAGACTCGGTCAAGGTTCCAATGAAGACTCGGTCAAGGTTCCAATGAAGACTCGTTCAAGGTTCCAATGAAGACTCGGTCAAGGTTCCAAAGAAGACTCGTTCAAGGTTCCAATGAAGACTCGTTCAAGGTTCCAAAGAAGACTCGTTCAAGGTTCCAATGAAGACTCAGTCAAGGTTCCAATGAAGACTCAGTCAAGGTTCCAATGAAGACTCAGTCAAGGTTCCAATGAAGACTCCTAAATATGAGGAGAAAATGTGCAATCCAGGGCCGCCCCCAACTTGGTGTATGTGGAAATTCTATCTTGAGGTATAGTTTAACTGTTTTCTAGGCCTTTGCCAAGGTCTGCTTAGCAGCAGTAGTGATCTGCAGAAGAAGCCTCAACTGCCTTTATGGGAGCTCAAAGATGTTCCTGTTGAGGAGAGTAACTGTTGGTCCGCTGGAGCGTGATTTATCAAAAAGTGTTGAGAGCATCCAAAAATGTCAGACCAAATAATACATACTAAGAGGTATGTCAACCATATGTGGAGAGGACAAGTATTTTTAATCAAAATGTCAACTTCTGCTTTGGCTGCGAATGGCGTTGGGAAACGTTTCAAAGCAAACTCGAGAAAATCACCCTTATGAGAATGTGTGTTTTTTGTACAAAGTAGAAAGTCTTCATGGGAGGTTTTACATTCTTTCAGGGCCAAACATCTCTTCCTTAAAGAATTTAGGCTTTTAGAGGCAATACTCTCAAAGTAATAGTAAACATACACTGCTCAGAAAACCAATCATGGTGTACTATTCTTCCCACTAGAACCAAGGATGGTGTGCGATTCTTCCCACTAAACCAAGGATGGTGTGCGATTCTTCCCACTAGAACCAAGGATGGTGTGCGATTCTTCCCACTAGAACCAAGGATGGTGTAGTATTTTCCCACTAGAACCAAGGATGGTGTACTTTGCTTTGGCTAGAACCAAGGATGGTGTGCGATTCTTCCAAAGAAAAGGATGGTGTGCGATTCACCCCACTAGAACCAAGGATGGTGTGCGATTCTTCCCACTAGAAAGTCCAAGGATGGTTTGTACTATTCTTCCCACTAGAACCAAGGATGGTGTACTATTCTTCCCACTAGAACCAAGGATGGTGTGCGATGCTTCCCACTAGAACCAAGGATGGTGTGCGATTCTTCCCACTAGAACCAAGGATGGGTGTACTATTCTTCCCACTAGAACCAAGGATGGTGTACTATGCTTCCCACTAGAACCAAGGATGGTGTGCGATGCTTCCCACTAGAACCAAGGATGGTGTGCGATTCTTCCCACTAGAACCAAGGATGGTGTGCGATTCTTCCCACTAGAACCAAGGATGGTGTGCGATTCTTCCCACTAGAACCAAGGATGGTGTACGAGTCTTCCCACTAGAACCAAGGATGGTGTACGAGTCTTCCCACTAGAACCAAGAATGGTGTACGATTCTTCCCACTAGAACCAAGAATGGTGTACTATTCTTCCCACTAGAACCAAGGATGGTGTACTGTTCTTCCCACTAGAACCAATCATGGTGTACTGTTTCTTCCCACTAGAACCAATCATGGTGTACTATTCTTCCCACTAGAACCCAGGATGGTGTACTATTCTTCCCACTAGAACCAAGGATGGTGTACTATTCTTCCCACTAGAACCAAGGATGGTGTACTATTCTTCCCACTAGAACCCAAGGATGGTGTACTATTCTTCCCACTAGAACCAAGGATGGTGTACTATTCTTCCCACTAGAACCAATCATGGTGGTACTATTCTTCCCACTAGAACCAGGATGGTGTACAATTCTTCCCACTAGAGCCAAGGATGGTGTACTATTCTTCTCCACTAGAACCAATCATGGTGTACTATTCTCACTAGATCCAAGGATGGTGTATTATTCTCACTAGATCCAAGGATGGTGTACTATTCTTCCCACTAGAACCAAGGATGGTGTACTATTCTTCCCACTAGATCCCAGGATGGTGTACTATTCTTCCCACTAGAACCAAGGATGGTGTACTATTCTTCCCACTAGAACCAATCATGGTGTACTATTCCCACTAGAACCAAGGATGGTGTGCGATTCTTCCCACTTAGAACCAATCATGGTGTACTATTCTTCCCACTAGAACCAATCATGGTGTACTATTCTCACTAGAACCAAGGATGGTGTACTATTCTCACTAGATCCAAGGATGGTGTACTATTCTTCCCACTAGATCCAGGATGGTGTACTATTCTTCCCACTAGATCCCAGGATGGTGTACTATTCTTCCCTAGAACCAATCAGAACCTAGATCCAAGGATGGTGTACTATTCTTCCCACTAGAACCAATCATGGTGTACTATTCCCACTGGAACCAATCATGGTGTGCGATTCTTCCCACTAGAACCAATCATGGTGTACTATTCTTCCCACTAGAACCAATCATGGTGTACTATTTCTCACTAGATCCAAGGATGGTGTATTATTCTTCACTAGATCCAAGGATGGTGTACTATTCTTCCCACTAGATCCCAGGATGGTGTACTATTCTCCTCCCACTAGAACCAATGATGGTGTACTATCCCACTCACCCAACTAGACCAATCATGGTGTACTACCATTCTCACTAGATCCAAGGATGGTGTACTATTCTTCCCGCTAGAACCAGGATCTACTACTCCTCCTACTGACCATCAACCCCGAGGATCTACTCCTCCTGCTGACCATCAACCCTGAGGCCATGTTTATTCTCACTGATGCTGGGGCCAGGATATTTTCCATCCTCCTTGTCGCTAATCCGGCCCTCCTAAAGTCTGAAGGACCATATACTGGCCCTTTGTTTGAAAAGTTTGGAGACCCCTGCACTAAAGGATCAGAGAGTGATAGGCAATGACACCATATAACATGGCATACAGCATTATTGTCCTCACCTACATTGGAGAACAGGTCAAGCAGTTCTGCTGCAGAGTCCTAGGTGTGGGAGGAAACTGGCTACAAGAGGAAATGATCCATCGTAGGCTCCTAAGAGGGCCGTTAATATTGTGGGGGGTAAGGTGGAGGTTTTTTTCCTGCCAAATTTTTTCCATAAGGATGCTAAGTAGCTGCTACATCTGATCTGAGCCAGGTTCCCCCCCCCATGCTGATTGTGGCTATAACTAGCTAGGAAAGAGGAACGGAAAGGAGAACCATAGTGGGGCTCTGGGAATACACATCCGCCATGTTAGCCACCATGCAAGCGCACCCCTGAGGTTTAACAAGGACTAATATCTGTGAATAACTTTTCCCACACTCAGGACAAGAATACAGCTTCTCCACCGTGGGAGAATTCTGATGTGTCTAAAAATGAGACGTCTGTGAAAAACATTTTCCACACGCACGCAGGACAGGGATACGACTAGTCATCTGTGTGAATCTTCTGATGTCTGTCAAATTTGGGCTTATCTGAAAAACTTTTACCGCACTCAGGGCAGGAATACGGCTTCTCCCCCCCGTGCAATCTTTGATGTCTAACAAGGTGCGATTTCCGTTTATAACATTTCCCACACTCAGGGCAGGCATATGGTTTCTCCCCCGTGTGAATCATCTGATGTCTGCACAAATTGGACTTGTCTGAAAAACGTTTACCGCACACAGGACAGGAATACTGCTTCTCACTTGTGTGAGATCTTTGATGGATAAGGAAGTCTGATTTCCCTACATAACATTTCCCGCACTTGCGACAGGAATAGAACTTCTCACGTATGTGAGTTCTTTGGTGATTAACAAGACTTGATTTATATGAGAAACATTTCCCACAATCAGGGCATATAAACGGTTCTTCCCCTCTGTGAGACTTTTGATGTCTAATAAGTTCTGATTTCTGTAAAAAAACATTTCCCGCACTCAGGGCAGGGAAATAGCTTCTCCCCAGTGTGAGATCTTTGATGTATGATAAGTTTTGATTTCCGAGGATAAGATTTCCCACATTCAGGGCAGGAATACGGCTTTTCTCCCGTGTGAATTCTCTGATGAATAACAAGGTCTGATTTCTGTGAAAAACATTTCCCGCACTCAGGACAGGAAAACGGCTTCTCCCCTGTGTGAGATCTCTGATGTGTGATAAGTGTTGATTTCTGTGTGTAAGATTTCCCACATTCAGAACAGGAATATGGCTTCTCCCCTGTGTGAAACCTTTGATGTATAACAAGGTATGATTTCTGTGAAAAAACATTTCCCACACTCAGGGCAGGAACACAACTTTTCCCCTGTGTGAGATCTCTGATGTATTAGAAGGTCTGATTTTTGTACAAAACATTTCCCACACTCAGGGCAGAAATATGGCTTCTCCCCTGTGTGAATCCTTTGATGTCTGTAAAGTTTGGATTTCTCTGAAAAACATTTCCCGCACTCAAGGCATGAATAAGACATCGCCCCTGTGTGAAATTTTTGATGTAGAACAAGTCTTGCTTTCCGTGTAAAACATTTCCCACACTCAGGACAGGAGAACAAGTTTTTCTCCAAGTGAGAACTCTGATGTATGTAAAGATGAGATACCTGTGAAAAAGATTTTCCGCACTCAGGACAGGAATATGGCTTTTCCCCTGTGTGAATCCTCTGATGTCTGATAAGACTGTACTTCTCTGAAAAACATTTCCCGCACTCAGAGCAGGAATATGGTTTCTCCCCTGTGTGAGATCTTTGATGTAGAGCGAGTCCTGATTTCTGTGTATAACATTTCCCACACTCAGGACAGGAATACGGCTTCCCTCCTGTGTGATATCTTTGATGTAGAACAAGTGCAGATTTCTGTATAAAACGTTTTCCGCACTCAGGACAGGAATATTGCTTCTTGCCCGTATGAGATCTGTAATGTATGATGAGTTCTGATTTTTTTAAAAAACATTTCCCGCACTCAGAACAAGGGTGAAGCTTCCCACCCGTGTGAGATCTCTGATGTACAGTTAGACTTGATTCAGAGCCAAAACTTTCCCAACAATTAGGAGAGGGACAGTTCTCCTCCCCCTGAATTCCGGCACCATCGCTCACAGTACGAGGTTGCTCAGAGTCAGAGGGATTTGATGGTCCATCCACACTGTGAAGTCCACCATCCATAACTGAGATCATTGTCGTTTCTCCTGCACAATCTCCTGTGATGTCCTCCTCTTCCATTTTACAGCTTAGAGGTAAAGTGAGGTGATCCTTTGAGGGTTTCTTGATGGCGTGTCCTGGAAAATATAAAAACATGATCAATAGATACAAGATAATTAATTCACTAAAACCAAAATTCCATCTGGATCAGGTAGGTTTTAGTGAGCAGATGTTCTCTGTAGATGTCCCAACCAGCTGTGACTTCCCCTCTTCAGTAAAAGGTCCTTTGGTTCTCCCCCCAGATCACTTCTACATTTCCCCAGCCTTTTCAGAAGAGCAGGAACCAATGGGGACTGGGAGGGGCATGCTTTTCACACAACCACAAGCCTAGGCACTGGGTCATGTGATCTCTGATAATGAAAAGGAACAAAGTTCAAACTTGGAGAACCTTTAGTAGAGAACAAGAGATCATAGGCCTAGGTATCAAATCAAGAATCCATCTGGATCAGGTAGGTTTTAGTGAGCAGATGTTCTCTGTGGATGTCCCAACCAGCTGTGACTTCCCCTCTTCACTAAAAGGTCCTTTGGTCTTCCCCCCAGATCACTTCTACATTTCCCCAGCCTTGTCAGAAGAGCAGGAACCAATGGGGACTGGGAGGGGCATGCTCTTCACACAAGACTTTTAGACTTGGAGAACCTTTACTAGAGACCATAGGCCTAGGCATCAAATCAAGATTCCATCTGGATCAGGTAGGTTTTAGTGAGCAGATGTTCTCTGTGGATGTCCCAACCACAAGCCTAGGCACTGGGTCATGTGATTTCTGATAATGAAAAGGTCCAAAGTTCAGACTTGGAGAACCTTTAGTAGAGAACAAGAGACCATAGGCCTAGGCATCAAATCAAGATTGCATCTGGATCAAGTAGGTTTTAGTGAGCAGATGTTCTCTGTAGATGCCCCAACCAGCTGTGACTTCCCCTCTTCAGTAAAAGGTCCTTTGGTCCTCCCCCCCCAGATCACTTCTACATTTCCCCAGCCTTGTCAGAAGAGCAGGAACCAATGGGGACTGGGAGGGGCATGCTCTTCACACAACCACAAGCCTAGGCACTGGGTCATGTGATCTCTGATAAGGAAGAGGCTCAATGTTCAGACCCTTTGGCATAGGCCAAGTGACCACAAGCCTAGGCACTGGGTCATGTGATCTCTGATAATGAAGAGGTTCAAAGTTCAGACTTAAAAACCCTTTAGCACAGAACAAGTGACCATAGGCCTAGGCTTCTGGTGGAAAGCAGAACTGGAGGGTGTTCCAGTTCTCTAGGTTCCTCATTGCTTTTCACTTCCACAAGACTGTAAATAGAGTTTTATGTTAACCTTTAGCTATAAATCAGATCAAAGACAAGGGACCAACCTATGAAAATGTTACAGTAACTAGGATTTCAACACAACATCACAATGCCAGCTAATCCCAAAATCTACATAAATAGAGATGAAAATGTGAATGAGTAGGAGTTATGTCCCACCCATTGTATTTTTTCCTGGGTTATTGTGAACTGCATCGGGTTACTATTATGTGATGTATGTTGAGACATCTAGTAGGGGTTTAGGGTCACTACAGATATTTTAGGAATGGGATTTGGTATCCCCCCTGTTTATTGCTAATGAGGTCAGTCCCAGCTAGGCTAGACCCTTCTACTTTCTTCCATGTTCCCTCAGTCTGTTGGTTCTGCTCAGAGACAGGGCTTAGGAAACATTATCTTCTTACACTTCAACAGATTGAAGAAACCTTCTCTGTATTGCAATTAGATGAAGTAAAATTGCATTGGATTCAACTTCTTGTTGAAGAGTTAATCTGCAGATGGTGCCAAATCAGCAGTTGACGCTACTGTCCCGACAGACTACAAGAACAATAATAAAAATAATAATAATTTTAGAGTGCGTTTCTCCATAGGGACCACAAGCATTAATCAAATTGTTGTTGGGGTCATTGAAGGGATTGATTTGCAGATATTGCTACAAGCCAGGGTGAATAGATGTCCCCTGCCTATCCGCATAGAAAATGCTTATTATTGTTTTTTTATGACTCAGCTCCCATTGACTCCAAAGAGGTTCATCTTCACCGAACCCACCTCAAACTGGACCAAGGTACGTAACTCATCACTATACATAAATCATATCTGAATAAATAAATCGTGTCTGAAATACAGAGAAGGGGGTTTGCATGAGGGAGAAGAAGATCTAATGTGCAGGACGGGCATCAGCAAAAGAAAGTGACAATTATCAACCTATGTGTCAGGAATGGACTCAGCACTGGTGGTGGGAGTCACCTGCCGTGTGGGCTGCAGTACCAGGGCTGACCAGCGGGTGCTCTCAGCAGCCAGAAGCTCACTCCTGCAATCAGCCAACACCTGGCGCTGATTGCAGGAGGCGTATTTAAGGAATGGCCAGACCTGCAGTCAGTGCCTTGGTGTATGTTTCCCATGAGCCCCTGTACCTGGTATCCTGTGTTCCTGCCTATCTGCCTAGTTGCTGACCCTGCTTTGATCCTGACCTCTGCTGACCGTCTCCTGTTGAACCCCTGGCTTGCCTGACCATCCTTCTGCTTGATCCTCTGTACCGCGCTGCCCGTGAGTTACTGATCCCGGCTTGTGACCCTGACTATTCTCTGCCTGCTCCTCCGGTACCTCACTGCCCGCACGTTGCTGACCTGGCCTGCCTGACTATGCCTGACCCTACCCAGACGATACCATCCATCCCGCACGGATCCAGTCACTACTGTCCAAACCTGCCAGCCCCTTCACATCAGGCATTCCCCTGGTACATACCCTCGGCAGAACCCTCTACCACAGTTGGATGCATTCAGGGGCCGCAACCTGGTCTCAGTCCTGCACCAAGTCCATCCCCACCATCAGGGGCTCTGGTGAAAAGGCAGACTGGGGCTTAGACTTTGCGCCCTGGGGAATCCTGTTCTGTGGGTCACTAGAGATCCCGCCGGGCGGTGCCTGACAGTACCTACGGCCCACCTCCATTCCACCTCTCCAGCCCTGACTACACCTGTGTTCCTGAAGCCTGCTACTTCCCTGTGTCAGTCCACACATTTCTGGTCACACCCAGGATCCCTGACACTATGACATCACTCATCTCCTGCCCTACTCTGGACCAATCAGTGAGCAGTAACAGAGCAGAGATAAGGAAAGGAAGAGCAGTTAGCTTCTAAAATCATCCTTATCATGGGATTCCTAAAAAAAAAAAAAAAAAAAAAAAAAATCACAAAATCATGAACACAACAGAGGGAAACACAGAACAACCCTAACGTGTTTCGTCCTCATCTAGCTCTTATTCATAGCTTGAAAAACAGAGCAGAGACAACAGAAGAATATATTGTGGCTCACCTGTGCGGATCTCTGTAGGAGTGTCCTCCTCTTTGAATGTCCTCATCATTCCAGCCTCCTCCGTATATTGCTGATCATCCCTCACATACATCTCTTCTTCTTCACTCTCAACTTTCATCTTCATCAGATCTTCACCCTAAACCAGCAGAATGGCAGAAAATACCATTGTGAAGGATGCATACAGATGGCGAGGAGAGAGTTTATTTTGAGCAGGTATCAAGAACCTCTTGTCAGTTATCAGGGAGATCATGCTAATTTTCATGTGCATAAATGTGCACAAGTTTTTCGGCATTGGAGCATAGCTAAGTATGCAAGAGCACGTGAACACAAAGCTGTGAACATGGAGGCACAGGCATATCCACCACAGATACTGGAGCCTAGTGGACTACTTAAACGCGAGGCATGCATAGGATCTGTGAAGCGAACACGGGGTAGGTAGATGGAGTCAGGACTTGGAAGTTTCTACCACCAGTGCATATGGGGTTGTGCAGCTCCAAACAAGGCTGGGGAAGCCCTACCAATACTGTGAAGCGAAAACAAACAAAAAGCGCACCAACCTTGCGCATTACCTCAGTAAGCCAAAATTTATTAATTACAGAATAATACTCACAAACACTGAAGTATATCATACGTGTAAGTCCTCAAAGGGACTAAGGATAAAAGCAGCCTGCGCGAGTCCCATCAGAGGAGTGGACACTCAGGGAACAGCTGACGCGTTTCAAAGGACGAACCTTCTTCATTAGAGCTAATCTCTGATGAAGAAGGTTCGTCCTTCAAAACACGTCAGCTGTTCCCTGAGTGTCCACTCCTCTGATGGGACTCGCGCAGGCTGCTTTTATCCTTAGTCCCTTTGAGGACTTACACGTATGATATACTTCAGAGTTTGTGAGTATTATTCTGTAATTAATAAATTTTGGCTTACTGAGGTAATGCGCAAGGTTGGTGCGCTTTTTGTTTGTTTTCGCTTCACAGTATTGGTAGGGCTTCCCCAGCCTTGTTTGGAGCTGCACAACCCCATATGCACTGGTGGTAGAAACTTCCAAGTCCTGACTCCATCTACCTACCCCGTGTTGGGTCATAGAGTGCAAGAGAGTTTGTTTTCTTTCTAATGCATGCATAGGATCATTGCTGGATGATCTTTCTTCTTGTATCTCTGTTATCTTTGATCCTGAATCCTGCTTGGACTGTGTTATTGATCTGGCTTTCATCTGAGCTGTCTCTGGATTACCCCTGATGTTTACGTCTGCTGCCTACCTACAGTTGTGCACAGAAATTTGCATACCCTGGCAGAAATTGTGAAATGTTGGCATTTATATTGAAAATATGACCGATCATGCCAAAAAAAATCTTTTATTTAAGGACAGTGAGCATATGAAGCCATTTATTATCACAGTGGTTTGACTCCTTTTTAAATCATAATGATAACGGAAATCACCCAGATGGATCTGTTGAAAAGTTTACATACCCTGGAATGTTTAGCCTTGGTGCATACACAAAAAGTAAAAAAAGAGAGGGGGAACAGAAAAGAAAGGTCAAAAGACCTGCGTAACAAGGAAATTGATCTTTATAAAGATGGAAAAGGATAAAAAAAAGATATCCAAAGCCATGAAGTAAAGGACTACTAAATTAATTAGAAAAAGAGTCTCACAGTCAAAATCCAGTGAGTCTGAAAGGCCCAATACATCCACTTCACATAACCCATACAGGAGAGGAAAGGGATACCCAGTGCCCCTCCCCCCTTGCCTATAGACCTATATTGAAAGGGCACTGAAGCAAGTAATGGTCTATAATTTCCTCCACGTTGTCACACTCCACTCTTGGGCGACCTCAATCACCTAGAGAGCGGTTCTTCACAAAGAGTCTACCATGGAACGAGAGCCAGGCCATATCCTAGAACTTCAAAAGGATTCTTTCCAGATTATTCAACCAATGAACCTCCCTCATAACAGGGCCTAGGCAATCCCTCAATACTAGATGTGACGGGAGCGACTTTTGGGGGTGGGGGGACCCCTGTATCATCTCCCCAAATCATTATGTTTAAACCACCCTGTGCCTGTTTAAGGGTACAGGGTGTACATGTGAATGTCCCAGTATTGTGCATTTGTGTGTTGTCCTTTGTCTAGGCCACATGGCTGTCCATTGTTTGTTTGCCATGTGCTCCCCCCCCCATGGTGCTGTGCCTTCCTGTCCAGCAAACTATTATGGGATGTACTGTTCGTGTATTGGTGTGGGGGGTTGGTCAATGTCCTTTGCCGCATGGCTGCATCCCATTGTTCTGTGTCTTGGGTTGGTTGGGGTGGTTCCCTGTAGCCCTTCCCACTGATAGGGTGGGCTGATGATGTATTTCCTGTTCCTGGTTGTGTTTCCCCGCCCTCTGTATATATTCTGTGTTTTGTGTTAAAATAAAGAGTTGGCTTTCTGTCTTAAGAGCTGGGTGCTGTCTATTTCCTGAGGGATTTCAAGGGTGTGGTCCGTGGATGGTGTTCGGACAGGGGAAGCTGCGGGATCACGGAATATACCCAAGTGCGGTCGGGTACCGGTTCTGTTACACTAGTTCTTACTCACCATGTTAGACCCTCAGGCCCACTACTCTCCCAGCTCTGCAGAAAAAACCTAAACCAGGATTGAAAAATACCAACCCATCCAGGTGGTTCCTCTGCCAGCATATTACCAAAGTTATATTTCAAGAACATCAGAGAAAATTATAGCACTGGCTGGACCATACCTAGGCCTGGGGAGGTGAATTATAGATCAAGTCCATGTTCCAGCACTAGGAAATGAAGGATCATTTACATTTTATAATGTAGAGAGAGTCTATACAACAACGAGAGACCTCCCCTGCTGTTTGCATTTTATAGTGGAGAGAGTTTATAAGAGAAAGAGACTTCCCCTGCTCCAAGTCCATGATCCACCACCAGGAAAGGAGGTAAAGTTTAAGTTTTAAAGTGGAGAGAGTCTATTGGTGAAAGAGAAATTTCTCCTGCTCCCAATCCATGCTCCCCCACTAGGAAAGGAGGGAAAGTTTACATTTTAAAGTGGAGAGAGTCTATTGGTGAAAGAGAAACTTCCCCTGCTCCCAGTCCGTGCTCCACCACCAGGAAAGGAAGGGAGGTTTACATTTTAAAGTGGAGAGAGTCTATTGGTGAAGAGAAACTTCCCCTGCTCCCAGTCCATGCTCCACCACCAGGAAAGGAAAGAAAGTTTACATTTTAAAGTGGAGAGAGTCAAAGACAAAAAGAGACTTCCTCTGCTACCTCCTAATGAGGTTCAGCTTGTTACTCCATTGCGGTTGGAAGAAACAACTGTAGATCCTCATACAGACACCGACAAATCACAAACAAAACTGACAAACAGAAAAAAACGTAATCAGGTACGTCCATCCTGTTCCTCAAAGAGAGCTTCCAACCCTTCCAGTCTGCCACCTTAGCATTGACATCTTGCAGCCTGCTCACCCAATTTGCATGGCCATAACCACCCCTGATAGTTACATAGTTAATTTACATAGTCAATCTGGTTGAAAAAAGACACAGGTCCATCCAGTTCCAATGATGGGGCTCGGGGAAGGTATCTAAAAACTCAAAGCCTTTGCCTTCTCCCATCCAGGATACCTCACTCTCAGGGGCGGACTGACAACTCATGGGGCCCCCGGGCAATTGAGGATCATGGGGCCCCTGTGTCCTTCCCCAAACTCAAAAAAGCCTATGAAAAAGGTACCAGGGCATCTCATGGGGCCCCCTACTGACCCCGGCCCTCGGGCAGTGCCCGAGTTTCCAAATGGTCAGTCCGCCCCTGCTCACTCTTATCCTCATTGATCTTTAGGCCATCAGAGGCCTCCATATACTGCTTCAATTGCCTCTTCTGTCCCAGAGGTGAAAACAGACACACCATCATCAGTTTAAGCCAAAACACCAAATGGAGGCTCACCAGTAATTTGCAAAGGCACGCCACACAATGGTCCACTCTCTAACCATCTAATGAAGGGGTTATTTGTTAACGTGTATAGCAGAGGGCTCAAAGAACACCCCTGATGCACACCTTAACCAAACTCAAAAGGCCACTGATCCAACTATTGACAAGCATTAAACTTTTAGTCCCTCTATTCAAGGTCTTAAGCCAACCAAAAAAATGCCCCCTCCAGGCCATACTTACCAAGGAGTGACCACAGGTACTAGATACTGACCTGATTAAAAGCCTTAGCTTTTGGTGGTAATACCACCAAACATTTTATCCAGCCCATAGATTCGCTGTTTTAACCTGGTGATCTGGCCAGTTTTATGGTTTTATGGTGTCCACACTCTAGATAAGGGAGCAACACACCTTTTGGACAGCAGCATTATATGCAAGGGGGGGGGGGGGTGGGATAATACAATGTGTGTTAGATGTACTAGCTAGATTTGAATACACTAACAAACTAAGCCAAACTCCAGCTAACACTCTTTAACCCCTTGCCTACCGGGCACTTATACCCCCTTCCTGCCCAGGCCAATTTTCAGCTGTCGCACTTTGAATGACAATTGCACAGTCGTTCAACACTGCACCCATATCAACTTTTTATCTTTTTTTCACACAAATAGAGCTTTCTTTTGGTGGTATTTACTCGCCGCTGGGGGCGTGCGGCGGGAGGGCACGTTCTGGGAGGACGTCATCTGACGCCCTCCTAGAACTGGTCGGCTGCAGTGAAGCCATCATTCGGCTATCTGTGGTTGGCAAGTGGTCAAGCAGTTAGAGCAGCAGTTTTTTTTCTCTTTAGGGATAAAAGTTTTACAAAGTTGATCATTGTAAATCACCCTTGTCAGTGGTGAATGGTTGGTCTCAACCCTCTAACTGCTACATATGCAGGACAGCTTGTTCTTTTGAAATATAACAGACTTACTGGCTGCATCAGCAGATGAAAAGAAAGAAAATAAAACTAATGCAGCCATCACAAGTCAGCTGTCAATGCATCGGACCCAGGTGACTTTGAAATAGGGCAAGCTTATCAATATTTACATATAGTTAGTCTGAAAAAAGACAAAAATCCATCCTAGTTTTCAACCATTCAATAGTCTGATAACCACATCATCTGCAGTAATGTCCCCTGTCAAACTCACAAGAGGACCATGCCATTTCCCACCCCTGGAGTAGAGTCCTGAAAGC